CAGGCTTGTACAACATGGGTGGAGACCCTGTCACAGTCATTGAGGACATCCGAGACTTGCTGGACATTGGCAGGGATCGCAAAAATCCCCGAGAGGATTATCTGGGTAAGTGGCCCACTTGGGATCCAGCACCCTCAAACCCTCACCCCTCGGGGCTTGACTCTCCTTCTCTCCTTCAGATGTGTATGTGTTTGGGGTCGGACCCCTGGTGGACTATGCGAATACCAATGCCTTGGCTTCCAAAAAGAACAATGAACGGCATGTGTTTAGAGTCAGGGATATGGAAAACCTGGAGGACGTTTTCTTCCAAATGATTGGTAGGAAGACTCAAGGGTGTGCGAGGGGAAACTGCAGACTGAGGTTGCCAACTTCTCTTACTCCAAAGCCCTCAAACCTGGAAGGCTCGCCCTCCCATCATGCTTCCCCCAGGTCTAGTCTTACTTCCTGACTTCTCACAATCACAGAACTCTGATGGCTTATTCCATAGATGTGGAAACTGAGGCCTAGCACAGCAAGTCAGCACCGAGACTGTGGCTAAAAATGCCCAGTCCTCAGATCTCTTGGTCAATCTTTGGGGGGTCTTCATCTAACACACAACTTCCCCTCCCCTGCTTGATCCCCTTCGCCCTTCCGGGCCTCTGCTGCCTACAGACACGCAGGGATGTGTGGCTACAAAGGTGGCTACAGTGACTTGAGGCATCAGTATTCTTTCCCTGACAGATGAAACCAAATCTCTGGGTGTCTGTGGCATAGTGTGGGAGCATCAGGACGACAACGATTATTACAAGCAACCATGGCATGCCAAGATCTCAGTCACTGTAAGCACTCAAGCAGTGGGGACTTGTGGGAGGGGAAGAGAAACGTCTACGTTAGCTGTAATCCTGGCTGTTCAGGAAGCTGAGGCAGGGAGAGATTCATGGCCTGCTTGGTCTGCAGTGAGTTCAAGGTCAATACGATGACGTATGAAACTGCCTGAAAATGGAAAAGGAAGCTGGGTGTGGGGCACACACATGGCGTGGGACACTTATGTGCTGGTACCCTGGCACTTCAGAGTGACAGCAGGGCCACCTTGAGTCTGAGGTTAGTCTGGCTCCACAGTAAAGTTGTGCAGAAGTGATGAAGAGAAGAAAGCTGGGGCTAGACTGCTCACCTAGCATGTACACAACAGCCTCCGGCAGCACGCACACACCAAGGTTAATCTGCACTGGCTTCCTAGCGCCCTCTGAAAGGACACGAGAACTGTATGGGGGCCGTGGTGTCTGAGTACTTCGTGCTGACAGCAGCGCACTGCTTCACTGTGGAAGACCAGAAACATTCCATCAAGGTCAGCGTGGGTAAGAATGCAGTCAGACTCTGACCTCCAGGCCCATCTTCAGGAAGCACTGACATGTTAGGACCTGCAGCTCACCTGTTCTCAGCACAGCCCCTCCCTTAAACCCTGACCAGTCAAGGATGGGGAACAGAATCCAAAAGATGAGAAGGGGCCAGAAGCAGGGGGCTGCTTACATGATCATGGTACCCATTCTCCTCCTCTCAGGGGGGA